CCCTCCCCTCAGCCTGCCACAGCCCTCCGTGCTGGGAGCCCCCGCACAGGTGCGACTCGGGTGCCCTTTCGTCGGGGAAGAGCCCCCAGATGCCCTCTGGCGGGGGGCTGGTACCGGAGGGACAGGACACACCCCGTCCCACCCGGGGAGCTGGCACCCACCTGCCCAGGAGCAGAGCAGCCGGAGCAGGGGCCCAAGGGCCCAGGCGCCCCGCGCGGGGAGCATCAACAGTGCGACCCTCCTCGGGGCCTCTCTGCTCCGCAGCCGGGATTCTCTGCTGGACGCTGCCCCGCCCACTTCCTGCAGCGCCTGGCTCAGAGGCGGGGCCCGGAGCCCAGCCCGTCTCCGCCCCCAGGGACCGAGGAGGGGTCCCCCCCAGCCGCAATTCACAAGGAGACTTTCCTGGCTGGGCTTCCTAAAAGCAGCTGAACCGGCCAGCGATTTAAACTAAACGCCCGGCCAAATCCCTGTCCCGCAAACAGAATCAGGTACTAACAGGAACGTGTTCAAAACTTTATTAGCATAACGAGGCAATCACCTGAACACCCCTTTCTGATCAGCAGGGCCGGCTTGACCAAGGCCAGGATCTCTTCAGCCCCTTGCTAAAAGAATAGGGAACCAAGACCATCTCCCCCCGCCGCCCACTGCAGGGCTGTGTCTACACTGGCATGAATTTCCAGAAATGCTTAAAATGGAATACTATTCCGTTTTCAGTTTTTCTGGAAAAGGAGCGTCTACATTGGCAGGCTGCTTTTCCGGAAAAGCCCTTTTTCCAGAAAGGCATCTGTGGCCAATGTAGACGCGCTTTTCCGGAAAAGAGCCCCGATTGCCATTTTCGCGATCGGGGCTTTTTTCCGGAAAAGACTACTGGGCTGTCTACGCTGGCCCTTTTCCGGAACAGTGTTCCGGAATAAGGACTTATGCCCGAGCAGGAGCAGAATAGTTTTTCCGGAATAGCAGCTGATTTTGTACAGTAGAGCATTGTTGCTTTTCTGGAAATTCAAGGGCCAGTGTAGACAGCTCGCAGCTTATTCCGGAAAAGCGGCTGATTTTCCAGAATAAGTGGCCCAGTGTGTAGACAGCCCAGAAGTCTACTTAGGCTGTTCTGCCACCTCTAAACAGGCCCAGCTCAGCCCTCAAACACAAAACCTGCAGTTTCAAACTAGAAGCCACCCTGTTTCACTTGACATTCTTCTACAGAGGGACTGGGTACTGGGGTCTCAGCATCCTTACATCCACCACCATCAGCCCCCTGAAAGGGGATATTAATTCCACCCCTCCAGTGAGCTCAAGTCTAAACCCAAACAGCAATGGGTGAGCTGTAAACCAAGCTGCATGCTATTGTTTGGTGTGCCTGATGCTCCTGCAGAGGGGAGGGATCTCTGCCCAAGGCAAGCAAGGAAGAAGTCTGCAAACATTCACACCACTATGCTGCCCCTCCTTAGGCAGCAGGTCTCCTAGAAGGATCAGGGCAGATCTGGAGAGGAGGCTGCAATAGTCTCATGGTGGGTTCTAATCACAAAAGTCAGTGCGCTCTAGAGGCAGGAGTAGAGCCAAATCCTCAGGGCCTTCCAGAAGCCTGGGAAGAAATAAACAATTCGTAAGAAACCCTTTCCCGTGGTCTGTAAGGAGGGCTAGCTTCCACCTACTGATGCTTTTTTGCCTCATACCCCAGGAGACCTCCCCACCCACCCAAGCTGAGCAAGCAGCCCCCTCACGGGGAGGAAGCTGCGTGTCCCGGAGTTTGAGGATAGAACCAGCAGATGGGAAGCCACTGGCACCGAAGACAGAACAACGGAGGGATGGATCCCCCTCATCTGCCTCCCCAGGCACTGCACCGCCTGGATCTGCCAAGAAAAGGAGGCACTATCCTAGCCCCCCCCCACCCAAGAACCCCCTTGAGATTGCTGCTCCCAATGTCCAACCACCATCAGTTGCCCCAGTTCCAATCCCAGACCAATCACTGTTCCCACCATCAAGGCCATCTTTAGGGTTTATGGTGCCCTACAAGGGATGATTAAACTGGTGCCCCTATGCCTGACTTACTCTTAGCAACACAAACATAAGCTTACAGTATCGGAAACTTGCCACATGCACATTATTAAAAACAGTTTAACTGAATTAAGTACACTGTAATACTGATGGACTAGTACTAAAGTAGCAGCACTATAGAAAAAAATTCAGATTTATTGACAAAATGATGCAAATAATATTTTTTTTAATTTGTCAACATTTTATTGGAAATTTATATTAAGAACCCTGCCCTCCTTCACCAGCTGCAAGATGGGGGCCAGCTGAAGGCCAGGGCTGGCCCATGGAGCCCTGCTCACCCCAGACAAATTTGAGGCCAGGCCCAGCCCATGCAGGTCCTCTCCCCCCTCAGAGGAGCTGCTGACAGGAAAGTGAAGCTCTGTACCCTGGGGAGGAGTCATCAGCACAGCATTGTCACCCTTGTAAACCCTGTAATCTCTTCCCGCTCCCTCCTGAGTTCTGCACCCTCTACCTCCTGCCCTGACTCCTGCTCCCCCACCTCCCTACCCTGAGCCCCCCCAGACCCTGTGCCCTGAATCCACCCACCTTCTGCCCTGAGCTGCCCCCACAAACCTTCCAGCCCCCTGCCCACATATCTTAACCCCTACCCCTTACCAAGTCCCCCATATCTCTACCCTGACTCCAGCCCTGCAACCTTATACTTCTGCCCTAATGCCCCGCACCAAACTGTGTGCCCTCAGTCCCCTATCTTCTGCCTTTGCACTTCAACCCCTGCCCTGAGTTCCCCAACTCTCCCAGTCCCCTGCCTTCACTCCTGTACCCCCACCCCTTATTCTAGCAAAAGACAGAAAACTTGCAAATACTGTCCTCCAAAAAACTATAGCTGATGTTTTAATCACTGACCTTCGGATATTAATACAAACTTCTTTCCCCTTCATTTTTTAAAAATTCTATCATTTAAATAAAGCATGTACATTGTCCTTTTATTTTGTAACTTCTCCCCCTCTCCACTCCTCCCTCCCCCGAAATTACCTCTTAAAGATCCAGATACGCTCATAGGGACATAAATATGTAATCACAACATGCATAATATCTCCCCGCCAAGATTTTCTATTAATCATGAAACTTAGAAATATTTGAAGAAAACGGAGAGTGCCATGTAGTAACAGGACTGCAGGAGCTGGGGATTTATGGACCCAGGGCTTCCCTCGCCCCAAAAACAACCCTCCCCCAAAGCAAATTGACAACGAGATACGGGGAGCCTTCTTCCCTCCCCAGTACTGGCGGGGGTGGTGGTGAGTGCGGGTGCTTACCCTCCCGGATCTAAGGCCCCAGCCTCCCTCCCGGGCTCAGCACTCAGCGCCCCCTCCCTCCCGCGGCCCCAGACCCACCTTTCTCCCCTCCCCGGCAGCAGCGTCCACGTGCGGAGCTCAAACCAGCTGAGGGGAAAGTCGCCTGGGCTTCTCCCCACGCAGAGCCCCGGCCGGCGCCGGGGAATTTAAAATGGCGGTGCCGGCT